CCTCCTGCTCCTCCTCCTGCTCCTCCTTCCCCTCGTCCTCCTCATCGGCCTCCCCCCCCTCCCTCGCAAACTCCTGGCCCTCCGTATTCCTATCGAGCCATCGGGTCCCCCCCTCCATCGGCGCCTGCTCCTACAACCCCCTGGAACACGACCACCTCCGCATCCCCCTCCTCATCCTCGTCGTCGTCGTCGTCCTCCTCCTCCTCCTCCTAGCCATCCTGGCCATCCTCCTCTTCCCGCTCTCTCTCATCCTCTTCTTGCTCTCCCTCCTCCCCCTCGTCCTCCTCCTCCTCCTCATCTTATTCATCCTCTTTCTCGTGATCCTCCCTCCCTCCCTCCTTCCTCCCTCCTCTCCTCCCTGCCTCCTCCCTCCATCCCTCCTCTCCTCCTCCTCCCTCCTCCCCTCCCTGCTCCCGCCTTCCCTCCCTCCCTCCTCCCTCTCTCCCTCCCTCCGTCTCCCTCCCTCCTCCATCCCACACTCCTTCCTCCAAATATCCTCTGCAGACATTTCAACCCGCCCGCGCGCGCAACCGCAACCGCAACCGGGCGACACATTTCAACCTGCCCGCGCAACCGCAACCGCAACCGCAACCGGGCGACACATTTCAACCCGCCCGCGCAACCGCAACCGCAACCGCAACTGGACGACACATTTCAACCCGCCCGCGCAACCGCAACCGCAACCGGGCGACACATTTCAACCCGCCCGGGCCATTCTGCCCATCCTTTTCTTCCCGCTCTCTCTCGTCCTCCTCTTCCTCTCCCTCCTTCTCCCCCTCCTCCTCTTCCTCGTGATCCTCCCTCCCTCCCTCCTTCCTCCTTCCCTCCCTGCCTCCTCCCTCCCTCCCCCCTCCCTCCCTCCCTCCTCCCTCCCTCCTCCCTCCATCTTCCCTCCCTCCTCCCCTCCCTGCTCCCCCCTCCCTCCCTGCCTGCTCCCTCCCTCCTACCTCCTCCCTCCCTCCTCCATCCCACACCGCTTCCTCCTCATATTCTCTTTAGGAGGACCGCAGGTCAGCGGACACCGAAAAGAGAATGACCACACGAGGGCAAGGTGACCCATGATGTGTGCGCAACCGAGGTGAAATATGTCGCCCTGTTGCGGTTGCGGTTGCGCGCGCGGTCGGGTTGAAATGTGCCGTCCGGTTGCGGTTGCGGTTGCGGTTGCGGTTGCGCGGGCGGGTTGAAATGTGTCGCCCCGTTGCGGTTGTTGTTGCGCGCGCGGGTTGGTTGAAATGTGTCACCCAGTTGCGGTTGCGGTTGCGGTTGCGCGGGCGGGTTGAAATGTGTCGCCCGGTTGCGGTTGCGGTTGCGCGGGCGGGTTGAAATGTGTCGCCCGGTTGCGGTTGCGGTTGCCGTTGTGCGGTCGGGTTGAAATGTGTCGTTTGCGGTTGCGGTTGCGCGGGCGGGTTGAAACGTGTCGCCCGGTTGCGGTTGTTGTTGCGCGCGCGGGCTGGTTGAAATGTGTCACCCAGTTTCTGAGCACAGTGTATGTTTATCACGATGAAGATCGAGAATAATCTACGATGCGATTTGGTGCATTTTTGCTCTGGTGAAAAGCCCGCAGCCCCCCTCCCGCCGCCAACGGCAACCGGGCTGCCCCCTCTCCCTTAAGGACCGAAACATAATATATCAAAGCACGCGCGGTGGTGGTGTATAAAATGTTGGTTACCAAGAGGAGCGATGTTTATACACCACCACCAAGAAGTGCTGTTTCTGCTTCAGGAACTCCCCATGCCACGGCGCCTGCGAGCTGCGCCGCGTTCCTTTTCGCCGTGGCGTCGCAGCGTCGTCTGGCATGACCCTGCTCCTAACTCTTTTTGCCGTATTTTTTTTGTGCGGGCGGTGGTGGTGTATAAAAATTGGCCTCGCACAGTTGCGGTTGCGGTTACGGTTGCGCGGGCGGGTTGAAATGTATCGCCCGGTTGCGGTTGCGGTTGCGGTTGCGGTTGCGCGGACGGGTTGAAATGTGTCGCCCCGTTGTGTTTTCGCGATTTGAAATGTGTTTTCAGGAGTGCTCTCTTGACGTTCAGTCAGTCAGTCAGTCAGTCAGTCAGTCAGTCAGTCAGTCACACCGGCGGGCACAGAGTTTCACCCGGCTCCGCCGGGAAACGACATCCTCACGGCTACATTGATGCAGGGCGGATGGTTCTGAAGATGTAGTTGTCGCTTCTTCGTTTGGGCGAACCGTGGGCCCTTTTAAAATGCCGCCCCCGCCTTAACAGGTGCAAGACGAAAGGGCATGTCCTTTTCGAACTGGGGCTACCGGCTCAGACCGCAGCAGAAATTATGAGCACCTTGTGCTGTTTAGCATTAGCTTCGCGGCTGGAAGGCGACACCTTTTCAGAACAGAGCTCCAGTTGGATGCTTCTTCGAATTGTATGAAATGTCCTGTCTATGCGAAGTCCTTAACGAAATATAGCTCGAAGGGTGCAGGGCAGCCACTTTTCAGAACGGGCTGCGTCTGTGAGGTCCTTCAGGGGAGCCTCAAAGAGCTTCAGCTTTCCTTGCGGTTTGGGGGGGATTGTCCAGACTTGGTTGGTTTTGGTCGACGCCTGGACGACATCGTGGCGAAGTCCGAACAGGAGGGTGGACAGGAGGTGGTCGAACTCGGGACGACATCGGGTCGAAATCGCGTCTAGGATGGGGCCGCGGAGGGCCGCAGAGGCTCCCAGGAGGGCGCACGCGAGGCTCTCGCCCGAGTGGCAGGTCCGCGGGGCCGTCGCTCTCCGGGGGGTCGCCTCCTGCAGGGTCCTGCGAGGAAGGCCCTCGGCAGGTCATGGTGCACTGCAGCATCCTTGAGGCATCTTGGTTGGCCCTCCTTCTCCTCCTCCTCCTCCTCCTCCTCCTCCTCCTCCTCCTCTTCCGCCTCCTGCTGATCCTCCTCCTCCTCCTCCTTCTCCTCCTCCTCCTCCTCCTCCTCCTCCTCCTCCTCCTCTTCCGCCTCCTGCTGATCCTCCTACTTCTCCTCCAACCGCACTGCCCGCTCTGTCTGCCGCCTGGGTCACACTCGGCGGCGAGCGAGGCGGGGAGATGAGACGGAGAAGGCCTTCTATGAAGGTTCGGAAGCTCCCCGGCCTCTGAGAAGTTGTCTAAGCTTTCCCCGAACACAAAAAAGATCTCCGAAGCCGCGAGGGCTTCTGAGGAGTCCTGCCGCCTTCTGAGAAGGCCTGTTCCTTCTCATTTCCCCCCCTCGCTCGCCGCCGGCACACATTGTTATCCTTCTCTTCGGCCTCTTTCATCATGGTGGACTTCCCTTCCCATCAGTTGGGACGCTGGCAGCTTCCATCATCAGGGGACTCACCAGTCAGGGGAGCAAATCGTCCATTCGTTATGTTGCAAATCACGGAGAGTCGCTTGTGTCCTCGCAAATCCGCGTTTCATCGGCATGCGTCAGCGCCTGGTAGTCGATGAGAATGCGTTGATGTAGCTTCCATTTAGCGTCGATTCGCCAGAGCCAGCAAGTTTGTGTGGTGCAGTCGAAACCGATGGTAAGGATGGCTAACCTTCCCACGGGTACCATTGCATCCGTGCCTCTTCGGTCTATCCTTGACTGCTTTCGATTGCCGGCCGTGCTCGAACAAGCCTAAATACGGGCGTCCAAGGGGCTTGCATCCTTATCTCGCAGCCTCACTAGTAGGAAGGCCTTACGGCCAGTGCCGCCGACCCTGAAGGGGGGCGACGACCACGACGGCGGCGGCGGCGACGACGCCGTTGACGTGGAGCAGAGTCCTCAGTGATGCTTCGTGGGGCCTCTCTGGACCGCTCTCGTAGGCCTCCGAGGGGGCAGTCTTTGAGCCTCGGGAGCACCTTGGGGGCCTCTCGGGAGGATCTTGGCATCGGTTTTGACTGTACGCTCCCACTGGTTGCCGCAGAAGGCTCATCCTGGACCTGCCCTCGCCCTCTGCAGGGCTCGCCTCGACTCCTCCGATTCGATTCCATTCGGCCTTCAACGGCTGCGGATTCCGATTCGATTCGACTTTGGATTCCGATGTGGGGTCCCGAGGTCTCACTGGAGGCATGCTAGCCTGCCGAGTTCCGCCGATCCAGGAGGGAAAAAACACACAGACACAATGAGAATCGTCGATTCCCCAGAGAATATGGGAACATATGGGACGTGGGGGGGAAGACGAACACCCAGAACATATAGGAAAATATGGGGAATCCTTTTTTTTTTGTGTGCATTTGTGTATTCATTTGTGTGTCCTGGGGCCCCTTCACCGATCCCGCTCTCCCCGATCTCGGCCGCCGATCTCCGCCGGCGCGGCTCGCCTCGATCGCTCCGATCCGGCGGGTCGCTTCGATCCTGGCCTCGCCGTGCTCCTGCCCGAGGATCAGGAGGGAGAAAAACACACAGACACAATTCATCGTCGATCCCCCAGGAACTATGGGAAAAGATGCCGCTCCAAGAGGTCGCGACCCCCCTGTCCAAGGTCCAGGGGCGGGGCAGAGAGAGGGGTCAAGACACCCCCTCTGCCCGTAAGCCGTGTCGCTCACTCCCACCATCAGGAGGGAAGAAAAACACACAGACACAACGAATCGTCGATCCCCCAGGAACTATGGGAACAGAGGGGAAGTGGGGGAGGAGGCAAAAAGCACGAACATATGGGAAGATATGGAGGATCCTGTTATTTGTGTGTATTTATTTGTGTGTCCTGGGGCCCCTCCGCCGACGCGGTTCGCTTCGGTCGCCGATCCGACGGGTCGCTTCGATCCTGGACTCGTCGTGCGTCTGCTCGAGCATCAGGAGGAGGAAACAAAACACACACAGGCACAATGCATCGTCGATCCCCCAGAAACTCTGGGAACAGAGGGGAAGTGGGGGAGAAGACAGACGCCCAGAAAATAATATGGGAAAATATAGGGGGATCCTGTTCTTTGTGTGTGTATTTCTTTGCGTCTCCCGGGGCCCCCCCTCCGAGGGGGCGAGGCCGCTCGGGGGCGCCGCGCCCCCGCCGCCCGCCCTGCAGGCGGACTCCCCGCGCCCCCTCCGGCGGACGGAGGAGACCGCGCCGCCGCGCGCCGCGCCCGGCCTCGGGCACGCGCGCGCCCTCGGAGGGGGGGAATGCTCAGAGAAGGGACATAGTCGGGGGCGGAAAAGAGTCAGGAGGAAAAGAAACACACAGACACAAGTAATCGTCGACTCCCAGGAAAATATGGGAAAATATGGGAATTGGGCGGGAAGACAAAAACCCAGAAAATATGGGAAAATATGGGGATTAGTTTTATTTGTGTGTATTTATTTGTGTGTCCTGGGGCCCCTTCATCAGAGAAGGGACATAGTCGGGGGCGGAAAAGAGGGGGGGTGATGACTAGGGGGGGGTGGATGTCATGGCGCGGGCCATGATGTTTCCCCAGATTTCATGGCGCCCCTTCTTGTTTCATTACGTCCCTGGCCCCCCCGCTGGGCCGCGCACATGCCGCCGGTCATGATTTGCACCACCCCCCTCTTGGACACCCCCCTCTTGGCCGCTCCCGAAATAGGGGGCCACATGCGAACCCTACCCCTGTCCTTGTTCCTTAGTATTGTTTCTGATGTTGTGGGAGGGCGGAACGTGTCCGTTGTTCCTTTCAACATGGCCAGTCTTGTCGTCGACGTTGCGAGATGCGTGGCGGGAGTGGGACGCGGCGCACATCCCGCGCGGACGTCAATGCGGTGTCCTGGGGTATCCTCCACTCGCACTGAAATGCCCGCGCAACCCCCAGTTGTGCCATCACTGTTTCTTATGTTGTGGGAGGGCGGGTGGGAATGGGCATGCCGTGCTTGACTCGCTCGAGCTGGCAAGCTTGACCCCTATCCCTACCCCTACCCTCCCACAGCGAAGTGAACCCCACCCTCCCCCTCGGGAATCGTGGGGGTAGGGGTAGGGTTCGCATGTGGCCCCCCAGGAAAGGTACCCATACTTCTACCCTTCGCCCGGGTTCCCTCTTTGGGGCCTCCAGGGAGGTCCTCGTCGCCACCGCTGGATTCGCCTCGAGATCCTGGTCAGAACGCGCCCCGGGAGAGGTTCGGGGTGGGGCCTCCCTGGTGCCCCCTGGGGCCCTCCTGGGGCACTCTCGGGAGCCCTGGGGGCCATCTTGGGGCCATCTTGGAGGAGATCGATCAGAGGAGGGGGGGTACTAAATCAGCACCCCCTCCCCCCTCCCAAGGAAGCCAACCTTTGCCCCACACCTGGGCAAAATCAATGATTTGCGCCACCTCGCCGAGGCCATCTTGGACGCTCCAAGAGGTCGCGACCCCCCCGTCCAGGTCCAGGGGCGGGGCAGAGAGAGGGGTCAAGACACCCCCTCTGCCCGCAAGCCGCCTCGCTCACTCCCACCCTCAGGAGGGAACAAAAGCACGCAGACACAGTTAATCGTCGAATCCCCAGACAATATGGGAACATATGGGAGGTGGGGGGAAGAGGGAATCCCAGAACATATGGGAACATATGGGGCATCCTGTTAGTTGTGTGTACTTATTTGTGCGATTTGTGCGTCCCAGGGCCCCTTCACCCCGCCCCCCCCAACACAAAAGCAGCCTGCATGCCGCCTAGGAGCGCCACGCACGCCATGCGCGCCACGGGCTCCAGGTGCACCAGGCACCCTCCCTGGAGGCCCAAGGAGGAGGAGAAGGAAAAAGAGGGGGAGCAGGAAGGACGAGGAAGACAAAAAGGAGGAGGAGGAGAAGGAGGAGGAGGAGGAGGAGGAGGAGGATGAGGATGGGGAGGTGGTGGAGAAGGAGGAGGAGGAGGAGGAGGAGGAGGAGGAGGAGGAGGAGGAGGAGGGGCGTGGCAGCGCGGGCAGCAGGGGGATCTTCGTCAACCGCCGACGCACGGTGGTCGCTCGGCGCCTGCGCGTGCTCCGGATTCGGAGCCGTACCGTTCTTGTCAGGAGGGGAAAAAAACACAGACACAATTCATCGTCGATTCCCGGGAAAATATAGGAAAATATGGGAAGGGGCCCCTTCATTCTCGTTGAAAGGGATGGTTGGCCTGCGCGCAGCAAACAATATGCCAGCACCCCCGCCGCCCCTGTCAAAAACCAGCGCAGAGTGGTCTCTTGACGCCCGCGCATGCTCCAGATCTGGGAGCAAAGTGTATGTTGCAATGTTTTGTGCAAGGGATTTTGGGGGGGGCGTCTGATTGGTCCGGGTTGGCTGACGGTCGCCTGCGGGGGGGGGGGCGTCTACTTATAAGGAACAGTGATGAACCCCTCCCGGAGGGGAGGAATGGGGGTTGGACGAGGAAACGCTCTAAACCACTCACGTCCACAGGGCTGGTGAGATTCGGCTAAGGAGGGTCTTGCATGAGCCGTGTGCCTATTTGTGCAATGGGCTGTTCGCAGCATCGTGTGTGTTTTTGTTGGCCACCAGCCTACCACTTATCCTGCGAAGCGCTCACCATCACCTCTCTCCCATCCTCTGCTCATATTGATTGTCGCTGGACCAGGAAGAGGGGAAGAACGCGGATGTATTCCGAATGAAGAGGAAGAGGAAGAGGATGATGAGGGATTCTGAGTGAAGCACCCAACCATTCCGATACGCCCAGTAAAATCAAGGGACGCGCAATCTCTTCGGGAAGCCGTTGAGTAGAACGCCCCAGTGTATCAAAGAGTGGCGGCGTTCGAATACCTTGCAATCCCATGGGCAGCTTAAGGTCTCATTTGGGTCCGCGCGGACTTCTATTTTGTTGGGCCCCCCCTCCCGCATAGGTGCAGGCACGTGACGACATATGTACGCTCCTCGGCCCCAAAGAAAAAGAACACAGAGGCGAACAGGGAAGGCGGCACGAGGATGGGGGAGAGGAGGAGGTGAACGATACGTGCTCTCTTAACGAGGGCCTAAGCGCAAGGAGAGTTGGGGAAAGGGAAAGGGGACGGGTGGTTTCTCCCCACTTCGGTCTGGCAGTTCTGCCTCATACCCTCGCTGCCGCGCGGATTCCCGAGCGTGCGCCACCCAGGAGAGGTCCGGGGACCTCACTACTGGGAAGCCCGTCGACGTCGAGGAGGAGATTCAAGCGCTCGTGTCGAAGGCCATGGCCCGCAGGGAGTGGACGGCAGCGGAGAAGAGGAATCGAGATCCCCTCCTCCACCCGATGCCCGCCCGCCCTTGCCACTCTGCTCCTGTTCATCCTTCCTGCCACTTCACTGCCCCCTTCCCTTCCTGCTCTTTCCCCGTTCGTCGTTCCTCATCGTCCTCGCCTTCCTCGTCGTCCTCCCCATCCACTTCCTCCATCCTCGTCCTCCCCCCCAGCGCGTTCTGCCCAGGATGCTCATCCGGGCGTGGCGACGAGTGCCCTCGCCTGGAGGCCCTCAGAAGCCGGGTTGCGGCAGGCAGCTCCGCCGACGTCGCCCTGCCGGGGGGACGTGCCAAACTTTGGGACCTCGCGGCCGTGGCTCCAAGCGGGCAGGGCCCCTCGACGGCGTCACTTGCAGTAGAAGGTGTGGCATGGCCAGGCCCCGACCTCATTTCCGATGCTGGCTGCGCGCGCCCGCCGTTGACTGTGCGAGGCACCCCCTCTTTGCCGGCCCGCTGAAGGCGAAGTGCTCAGCGGAGCGATGCTCTCAGGCGGGGTGTTCCTTGCACGTGTGCTGGGGCAGTGCTCCCGTGCCCTTTTGCACACACATACACACACTGTCAGTAGCCAGATTGGCCCAGAAGGGTCCCGCAACGGGGCGAAACGTCAGCGCAACACTGGATACGTCAGGAGGCTGCATCGACGTGCGTCCACCGTCCGGCTTGACTGTCTTAACCCGATCCGGGGGGGTTGACAGGCCGTGACCGGGCGGCAGCTGCATCGCCGCCGGCTGCGGCTGGCGGCTGGTACCCGCGCGCCGACCGGCCGCCCCCACCCTGCGGCGTCTGCACAGCTGGCCCGAGCGGGAGTGCTCGAGCAGAGTACATCCGCGCGTGTGCGAAAGCTGTTCTGAAAAACAAGTTTTTTGCTCACCATGAATCACCGAGCGCGCCCCAACCACTCGCAAACTGCCGACTCGCAATCGTCAGAAAACAAGAAAACACATGCAGCTGCTCTGCGAGTCGTGGAAAGCCCTTGTCTGATGCAGATGTAGGGGTTCTGGGGCAACGGAGCCCTGGAGCATGTCTGCTCAAAGCTCATGGGCCTGTTTTCCACCACCACCACCACCAGAAGTTGGCGGGGGGAAGCAGGTGGAGGATGAGGAGGAGGACGAAGAAGAGGTGGAGGAGGAGGAGGAGGAGGAGGAGGAGGAAGAGGAGGACGTAGAGGAGGAGGACCCCCTCCCCCGCCTACTTCTGGTGGTGGTGGTGGTGGAAAACAAGCCCACCAAAGCTTTCGGGCTCCTGGGGTCCTCCCTGGGCTGTTGCGGGCGGGGCCAGGACAGGAAGAAGTGGCCCGAGTGCCCTGGCTCTTGCGCGCGCAGGTAGCGCGGGGACCGGGGGGGGGGGACTGGGGCGAGGGCCAGTGTAGGGCCAGAGGAGGGGGGGCAGGCCACGAACGAACGGACGAACGACGAAATCAAAGCTGTGTGGCCAGGAGGAGCGAGGAGGGGCAGGGGTGGGCCAGGGCTCTGGGGCCAAGGGGAGCGAGGGGGCGAACGAACGAATGACGAAACTAAGGGGCTCTGGAGCCAGGTGGAGCGAGGGGGCTGGGACACGGGCCAGGGGTAGCCAGGCAAGGGGGGGGGGGGGGGGCAGGCCACGAACGAACGAACGAACGACGAAAATAGAGAGGTCCGAGCTCTAGAACACAGCTGTGTCAGATACTGAATCGTTCCTGTGTGTGCTGGAGCGCTCTCAGAGCGCGTTCCAGAGCGCTCTGGAACGGCCGTGGCGCCCGACACATCCTCCAGAGCCGCTGGATCTCAGTTAGCTCCGATGCTTTCCGGTCCGACTCTGCCCCTGTCGTGGGTTCGCGTTTTTTGTGTCGCTGGGGCGTCAGGAACGGCCCAGGATGAAAACTTGATCTTGGAGATAGAGGAGCGACTGGATTCGCGTTTTTTTGATTGTGGCGTCAGGAAACGGCCCAGGATGAAGAACTGATCCCGGGGGGAGAGGAGATCGCAGGAGTGCGTGCACATGGGGCGCCCCAGAGGCCTCGCCGCCCCCGAGGGACCGAGGCGTCCGCCTCCGAGGGACCGAGGCGGCCGCGCCGCGGAGGCCGGAGGAATCAAGACGGGGGCGGCAGGGCGGCAGGCTTCGGCGGAAGTGAGTGTGCCCCCTCGCCCCAGAGGCGGAGGCTGCGGCTGGAAGCAAGACGAGGGCGAGAGAAGGCAGAATCCGGCGGAAGTAAGAATGCCCCCCCCCCCCCCCAAGGGGTGCCATTTTGTAGCGGCTTTTGAGCGGGCCGCATGCTTCGTTGCATCTTCTCGGCTCAGGTCACCCCGATCATCCTATTTCCTTTGTCTTGCACGTCGCGCACAGGGGATAATGTTCCTGTGGCAAAGGCTCAGGCTCTGTGGATGTGTCATCTGGTGGCATCGGCGTCAGAGCCCCCTGGCCAGGCAAGGAGCCGCCTGGACAGCGTGAAGGCAATGATGGAGGAAAACCAGGCGCGGTTGAAGAGCTGTGGAAAGGGCTTCAAGGATGCTTTTACTTTGTTTGTGAGAAGTGAGGAAGATGGGTGATGATGAGCAGCAGAACCAGGTTCAGCGTACAAAAAAGCCTTGTTGAAGAGCTGGGGCAAGGAGCTCAATACTGTATTCCTCTGTCGTGTCAAAGTGTTCGAGTTCGTGCTGTATTGCCCTCTGCTGTCCATTGGGTGGATGAGGCTCTGCTTTAGTCGTTTCGCGCTGCTCCCCATGCACATGCATCGATTCAGAGGCCGAGCTACGAGGCGTTGCGGTAGGATTTGAGCAGGACTGCCACGACTCTGAAGCCGGGCGACGGCCGGCAAATCCGTGGCTGCAGAAACGGAGCTCCGGGAACTTGTTCCTTTCTTCCGCAAGGGCTCCCTCGAGGGCGCGAAGTTATTCGCGCTTCACGCTTCGCGGTCCTCGTTCCTTCTCCCCCTCCTCCTCGTCCTCCTATTCTCCCTTTGGGAGGGCGGCGCGAGAGCGCGAAGTTATTCGCGCTTCGCGCTTCGCGCAGCGCGAAGCGCGAAGTTGGGAGCCCTAGTTTCTTCCGGGAAGCAGGCCGTCTACTAGTCAGTGCGTTGAGCTTGATTCCGGGAATCTGTTTGTTTCCCTCCGGGGCGACCGTTTCAGCAGCCACGGATTTGCCAGCCCTCGCCCAGCTTCCAAACTACCAGTACTATCAGAGCCCCGAATCACCAGGGGTAACTCGGGTCAGGGCTGACTCGGGTTCGCTTTTCGGGATTCCGAGCCCGAGTCACCCCGGGCCCGAGTTACCCCGGATAACTCGGGCGTCCAGAGCCACAAGTCATCAGGGGCAGCTCGGGTCAGGGCTAACTCGGGTTCGTTTTTCGGGAATCCAAGCCCGCGTTACCCCGGACCCGAGTTGCCCCGGATAGCTCGGGCGCCCAGTACTGTACACGCTCGTCCTCGACAGTCCTCGGTCGATCCGTTTCGCCCCTCCGTCCCTCTCCCTCCTCTTACCCTCTGAGGGGCAGGGTAGGGCGCCACATGCGAACCCTGCCCCTACCCCCCACGATTTCTGGGGGGGAGGGTGGGGTTCACATCGCTCGGGAGAGCCCGAGCGAAGTGAACCCCACCCTCCCCCTCAGAAATCGTGGGGGGTAGGGGTAGGGTTCGCATGTGTCAGGAGGGAAAAAAAAACACAGACACAATTAATCGGCGATCCCCCAGAAAATATGGGAAAATATGGGAAGTGGGGGGGAAGACAGAAACCCAGAAAATATGGGAAAATATGGGGGATATTTGTGTGTATTTATTTGTGTGTCCTGGGGCCCCTTCAATGTGGCCCCCTACAGAGGTCGGCGCTGGAAGAGTCCGGGGACATTCAGTGCTGTGCACCTCTGTGGCGCTCAGCACCATCCTCACGTCGGGCCTGCCCCCCTACAGGAGGAATATCCCAAAGTAGCCAAAACATAGTCCAGGGACCACTATTCGAGCATGTTTGAACATGTTTGAACCTGTTTGGTGTATTTTTATGTTTCGTCCACAATCCCCCTGCAGGAGGACATGCCCGACCTGACACCATCCCCATCCAGGCCTCCGCGTGAGGGGAAACGTAACCTTAACCCTACCAGGCACATCGCAAACAAGACCGCTCCGCGTGTGCTTACCAGGCCTCGCGCCTCCTTTGCGTCCTAGACCTTCTCTCCCTGCCCTCGCGCGCGCGCTGCAGGAAGGGGCGCCACCCGAGCCCCCCTGCTCGTCCCGCTTGTAGCTCCCCGCTGGCCCCCCTCCCCCTCCGAAGCGGCGAGGGACACCACGGCTGAGTGGGAGACAAGGTCAGAGCGTCGTCGGCTCCTGCGTGACGCTCAGCTGCTGCGCGGCGCCCCTTCCGCCCGGCCCAGCCTCGGCGCTGCGCTCCGCGCCTTCGGGGAGGGGATCGCCGCCGTGGCAGGGGCCGCGCCCGCGCTGCCGCCCGCGCCGCCCTTGGCGAAATCCCCACTGCAAGCAGTCGCCTCCTCCTCCTCCTCCTCCTCCTCCTCCTCCTCCTCCTCCTCCGCCTCCTCCTCCTCCCCCTCCTCTTCCTACTCCTACTCCTCCTCCTCCTCCTCCTCCTCCTCCTCCTCCTCCTCCTCCTCCTTCTCCTCTTCGCACGTGCGCGCACGTGCGCGGTAAGAGTTCCCAGCGGGGAGCAGGGCGAGCAGGCCTCTGCCGAGGTTCGGCACCCTTGCCGGCCTGGAACGTATCCCTATCCCTATGCTGGGCACCTCCTCATCACGATGCCAATCTTAGGGATTCCTTTATTTTCTGAGGGCGAATCCCTAAGATTGTCGTCGCCTTTTGGCGTGCCAATCTTAGGGATAGGGATACGTTCGAGGCTGGTAATACCCCTGCCGCACCCTTCGGGGGAGAGCTCCGAGGGGGAGCGTTCTGCCGGACCTGCGTGCTCGGCGGCCTCTTCTACTTCGTCTCCTGTCGCGCGCAGTGGCGCGCCGTGCGGCACCGCGGGGGCCGAGGGCGTCTCTCTCGGGACCCGCCTCGCTTCGGTCTGATCCTCCTGATCCCTCAACGACCCTCCGAGCGCGAGCGTGACGAGTCCGTGGTTCTGCCAGCCGCCGGCCGACCTCTTCGCTGGACGGGGGCTGCCGGTGCAGGTGAGGCCGGAGGTGATCGAGCACACTGCACGGTGGGGGCGTTCGTTTCAGGAATGCGCCCAGGGGGGGTCGGACCCTGGAGGATTCCTTATAGGATGAGGACGGCGGTGACACCCACGGCCAATCCACGATTGGCTTCCTACTGGCTTCCAGACCTTAAATTCCTTCCCAATGGTTCCTCACCCAGTGCCCTCACCGTATACAGTGGAGGCCCATGCCAAGGAACACCCTGCTTGCCTCCGGGGTGCCCGGGTTTCTTTGGGTCCCGAGGGCTCTGCCATGGAGAGCATGACGCTCCCACGCCAAGAACCGACGGCCGTCCTGGCGTCTCAGGGCGGGGTTTCTTGCGGGAGGTTTCTCGTGGAGTGGCCCTCCACGGCAGGAGGAGGCCTGCCTGGTGGGCGAGGGAGCCCTGCGTCGGTGCGGGCGGGCGCCAGGCCGCCAGGAAAAAAAACACGCCCGTGCCCGGCCTCGGGCGCGCTCGCGCCGCTGGAACGGGAGCGCGGCCATGCGGGAGTGCGCCTCTCCCCACTCGCGTGCTCCGAGGGCGTCTCGGGGGGGGACCGGGGCCTCCAGCATGCCAGAGCCAAGCTAACTCTTGACGCTTCGCGGATCCCCACCAGCCATGGCACCTGGACTGCATCGTCTTCCCTGGACGCTGTCGTGAGCCGCCTGTTCCGCGGCCCTGCGCGCGTTAGGTATTTTAGTCGCGTCCGCGGCCCGTTCGCGACCTTCCGCCGCTGGCGCCTCCGCCTGCGGCTGTATAAAAAAAGTATCCCCACCAGCCTGGTTTGCTGATACAGTGCTGATCATGTTCTTGTGGCGTGCAGGACTCAATTCCTTTCTGGCGTTTTGGAGCCATTCACTCGCATGGTGCATCAGCTACCCTGGCCGTTTGCAGTCAGCTCAGCCAGCTCCCCTTCAGCCCGCGGCCCCACCGGCGGCAGCATCTGAGTGCGGGCGCGGCCGCTGTGCTTTCAGGCTTGCGCGTTGCTAGTTTGACAGGCCCTTGGCCCTGACCTCTCAGCTCGGCGACTGCGAATCCGCGTCCGTTCGCGACAAAAAAAGTATCCCCACCAGCCCATCCATAATTGATTGCCAGTTTTCTTGAGGCTTCTTGGAGGCTATCTTGAGCCATGCTCGGCTAGAGGCTGTCGGAGGCTATCTTGAGCCATGCTCGGCTATCTTGGGCCATCTTGAGGCTGCCTTGAGGCCTCTTGGAGTGCTGTCGGAGGCTATATTGAGCCATCTTGAAGGCCACCTTGGGCTATCTGGGGCTCTCGTGGAGCCATCTTGGGCCAGAAAGGGCCGGTGGAGGGCCTTTGGGAGAGGCTGGGAGGCCTCTTGGGGCCATCTCGGGCACCGTGACTCAAAAAGAGGGGGGGGGGGAATTCGGGCCCCCCCTCGGAGGTTGTCAAACGACATTTTGGGTCCCTCTTGGAGTGCTGTTGGGCGCCTCTTGGGCGATCTTCGGGTCGTCTTCGGCCTTCTTGGGCTCCTCTTGGGCCTCTTTTGGGCCATTTTGGGGCCATCTTGAGGCTTCCAAAGCCCATCGGAAGCGGAAAGGCGATAATGCCAAAAGCATCGGTTTCCTCTAAGCTTCTGAACGGTTTTGGCATCTTGGAGGGCGCCGCGGAGGGCTCGAAGGGCACTTGGATCCGTCTTGGGGCTGTCTTGGGGTCTCTTGGGGGTATGTCGGAGGCTATCTTGACCCATCTTGAAGTAGCATGGGCCATCTTGGAGGCCATCTTGCGACTTCGAAGCCCTCTTGGAGCAATCTTGGGCCGTCTTGGACGCTCTAACGCCTCGGTACCCCTCCCTTCCTGGCCCAGGGGAGGGGGTAGGGGGAGGGGCTTCAGTGGAAGAGAGAAGAACAAACGCGTTATACCACCTAAGTCCAGAGGGCTGGTGGGATTCCTGGAAGCATTCATTCGAAGAGAAAATCAACGCCATAAACATAAACTTTTGGCGCTCCGCGCGGATCTCTTGGATCCGCGCCGGGCCCTTCCGGCGGCGCCTCCAGCGCCGCCCCTGGCGCGCTCCAGCGCAGATCCAAGAAATCCGCTCGGAGCGCCAAAAATTTACGCTTATGGCGTTTTGGTTTCTCCTACCCACGCTCTGCATTACGGAGCACCTGGGTGCCGAGTGCGGTTTCCACGAGTGTTGGTTGCCAGGGAGGGTTGGGAATGCAGTCGTCCTGGGCTCCGGGAGGCGGCGGAGATGGAGATGCATGGGCCCCCGTAGGGCCCAGACATATCCATATCCGCCGCCGCCGGGGTCCCAGGACATGGGCTCCCAGGCGGTGGATCTGGATAGACCCCCGCCTTGCAAGAGTCGTCTCTATTACCTTGAGCTCCGTGAGCTTGCTCTGCAGCGCCCCGATCGGTTGTCGAGTCGTGGCGATGGCGCGGTCGTTCTTCTTGCTGTGCGTGCGCAGTCGTCGGTGTCCCCTCTCCGCGGCCGCGCCGCCCTCCTCTTGGCCTTCCTCCTTGGCGCAAACGTGCCGAATCGCCACCCGCTGAGGCCTGCCCGCGCGGAGCGAGCGCACGCGCTGCGACAATCCTCGCCCTCCTCCTCCGCATGCTCCTCCTCGCCCTCCTCCTCGCCCTCCTCGTCCTCCTCCTCCTCCTCCTCCTCCTCCTCCTCCTCCTCCTCCTCCTCCTCCTCCTCCTGCCCCTCGCCCTCATCCTCGCCCTCCTCCTCCTTGTTCTGAGTGGGGGCTGGCCCGCCACCGGCCACTTGGCGCGCGACCTCGAGGTGTGGCCCCGCGTTTGGCCTGCGGGGCGCCTGCTGGTCACGGGGCCCTCGGCACCGTCGGAGCCGGGGGCGGCGCATCCATGGCGCTCCGCGCGCTGGGCAAGGCGTGTGGGGAGAGGGATCCGGCCAGACCAAGTCGGGTCACATGCTTTCCTCCTCCTCCGCTTCCTTTTCCACCTCCTCCTCCTCCTCCTCATCCTCCTCGTCGTCTGCCTTCTCCTCCTCCTCCTCGTCCTCCTCCTCCTCCTTCCTCTACCTCCTCCTCCCTCCTCCTCCTCCTCCTCGTCCCGCCTCCTCCTCCTCCTCCTCCTCCTCCTCCTCCTCCTCCTCCTCCTCTCCTCCCGCCTCCTCCTCCTCCTCCTCCTCCTCCTCCTCTGCCTGTGAAGGGAGCGCTGCGGATGTCGCAACTGGGGAGCAGGGGCTTCCAGCGCCGCCCCACGAAATTCGTCGGACCTCCCGAGGTTTGATGCGTCGATTTCTGGTTCTCCACGAGAACGCCCCCTTCCCCCCCTTCATGCACGCGCGACTCAGTGTCAGGCCTTGGCATGCTCACGCGCAAAACAAGGCGGGAAAAGGAGGATGCCAGAATGTTGTGGCGTTGTTTTTGGGGGGAGGTGGGTGATGATGATGCTGATGCTGATGCTGATGCTGATGATGATGATGATGATGATGCTGATGAAGATGATGATGATGATGATGATGATGATGATGATGATGATGATGATGATGATGATGATGATGATGATGATGATGATGATGATGATGATGATGATGATGATGATAGTGCGGGTGATGATGCCGCTTCAGGAGGAGCAGGGGAAGGAAGACAAGGACAATGAGGCGGGAGAGAAGGAGGGGAATGGAGGGGGATAGGATTAGAGTGTGTGAGGGGTTGGAAGGAAAGGCGAGGACGACGATTAGGAAGAGGGGGATGATGAAACGTCGCGATGATGGCATGAGGAGAAGGAGAGATGGCATATAATCTAGAGGAGGACAAGGATGTGGAGGAGACGAGGAGAAGGCTGATTGAGCAGGGTTGGGGAGACATGCGATGGTGCATGCGGATGGGAATGCCGAGCAGTGAGAGGAGCAGCCTGGATGCTGCTGGCGGCTTTGATGATGGCGATGCAATTATACAGATGTTGTCGTTGTTGAGGAGGAGGAGTAGGAGGAGGAGGGTGGTGTTGGCGACGACGACGATGATGATGATGATGATGACCTTGATGATGATGCTGATGACGATGACGATGTTATGACGATGATGATGATGATGATGATGATGATGATGATGATGATGATGATGATGATGATGATGAGGCTTATGATGATGGCGATGCTGATGACGACTGTGCTGATGATCCTGATGAGGCTGAGGAAGAAAAACGAGCAGCACAATTACAAGACGCACAAGAAGATGATGATTCTGATGAGGAGGATTCTGCTGCTGCTGATGATGATGATGAGGAGGAGGAGGAGGATGAGGATGAGGATGAGGATTAGGATGCTGATGTTGATGAGGGCCGAGGAGGAGGAGGAGGAGGAGGACGAGGACGACGAAGAGGATGAGGATGAGGATGATGATGATGAGGAGGAGGAGGAGGAGGAGGAGGACGAACAGAATGATGATGATGATGATGATGATGCTGATGCTGATGCTGATGCTGATGATGATGATGATGATGATGATGATGATGATGATGATGATGATGATGATGCTGATGATGATGATGATGATGATGATGATGATGATGATGATGATGGTGGTGGTGGTGGTGGTGGTGATGATGATGATGATGATGATGATGATGCTGATGATGATGATGATGATGATGATGATGATGATGATGATGATGATGATGATGATGATGATGATGATGATGATGATGATGATGATGATGCTGCGGGAGAAGCGCGTGTACGAGGCGACCTCGGCCCGTGGCCAGCGGCAGGCGCGCCGCGCCGCGGCGCCCGCGAGCGCAGGCGCGGCGGGGCGGGCCGCGCCTCCGCCGCCGCCCCCGCAGGAGCTGAAGAGGCAGCAGCACCACGCCGCCCGGGAGCGCCCCCCGCCCACCTCCAGCTCGATCCGGGGAGGAGGAGGAGGAGGAGGAGGAGGAGGAGGAGGAGGAGGAGGAGGAGGAAGAGGAAGGGGAGGGAGGACGGGAGGGAGGAGGAGGAGGAGGAGGAGGAGGAGGAGGAGGAGGAGGAGGAGGAGGAGGAGGAGGAGGAGGAAGAGGGAGGAGGAGGAGGAGGAGGAGGAGGAGGAGGAGGAGGAGGAGGAGAGGAAGGGAAGAGGAGGAGAGGAGGAGTGAGGAGGAGGAGAGAGGTAAGGAGAAGGAGGAGGAGGGAGGAGGGAGGAGGAGGAGGAGGAGGAGGAGGAGGAGGAGAGGAGGAGGAGGCGGAGGAGGAGGGAGGAGGAGGAAGAGAGGAGGAGGAGGAGGAGGAGGAGGAGGAGGAGGAGGAGGCGGGGAGGGGGAGGGGGAGGGGGAGAGGAGGAGGAGGAGGAAGGAGGAGGAGGAGGAGAGGAGGAGGAGGAGGAGGAGGGCCACCAGGAGTCCAGAGGCTCTTTGAGGCCCCCTCCAGAGGATCTCTGAGGAAGGGGGTCGTGCGTCGCGCCGCGCGCCACGGGCGCGGGCGCGGCGCGGTCTTCGGCGGAGAAGGTACCGCTTTGCCCGCAGTGCCGCAGGAGGAGGAGGAGGAGGAGGAGGAGGAGGAGGAGGAGGAGGAGGAGGACCCTTCGGTTCGACTGGGCGCAAGTCAAGCAGCGGCGAAGCGTCCTGGCGTGCCTGTAGCCTACCAGAGAATATTCCACGAACCTTTTGTGGTTTCCACGAAATGCTCTTGGAACATTTCTGGCTGGGACTGTCTTGATTCAGCACGTCGGGTTAATGTTCTAAGAACACTGCTTTTGTTCTTAGCTATAAGGTCACTCTTGCCCAGGGTCACTCTTTGCGTGTGGCCGAGCAGTCAGCCCAGAGGAGCAAAAGGTACAGACTTCGCCAGCCTTCCCTTGTTTTCCCCTTCTTGGGGCCTCTTGGGAGGCCCTCGTCGCCACCGCCGGATTCGCCGCGAGATTCTGGTCAGAACGCACTCCTAGGAGAGGTCCTCGGCACTTGCTCGTTTCCCTGGATGCGGCCCCACCGCATCGGCGGCGAGCGCGGGGGGAAGTGAGAAGGAGACCGCCTCAGAAGGCGGCGGGGCTTCTTCGGAGCCCCCGCGCCTTCTGAGAAGCTTTCTGTGTCTCCGGGGAAGGGTTGAGAACTCCTGAGATCGGGTGTTGCCAGAAGTACCCCTGGCCCAAGGTACCCCCAGGATTCTCGGGGTGGCCCAGACGGCCTCCAGGGCACCCCTGACGAGGCCCAGAGGGCCCCAGGGGCTCAAAAATGGCGCGACAAGCTGGGGGCACCTTGGGCCAGGGGCACTTCTAGCAACACCCGATGAGAAGGCCGGGAGACTTGCGAACCTTCTGACAAGGCCCGCCCTTTCTCACTTCCCTCCGTGCGCGCCGCCGATCTATGTCGTTTCACCGATCCCCATCCACATCCTCATCCCCATCCACATCACCCATCCACATCCCCATCCACATCCCCATCCCCATCCCCATCCCCATCGTCTGCGCGCCTCGTCTCCGTCGTCGTCGTCGTCGTCGTTGTCGTCGTGGTCGTGGTGCGTGTTGCTCTGCTCGGGACGTGTCTCCCGTATGCAGTGACCACCACCCATCCCGCCCTACCATCCTGCCACCCCAGATGGGGATGAGACGCCCCTCGGAACTCGAAGGGAGCAGCCTGTATCCCCATCTCTAGGGGGGTGGGGCCCAGGCAGGGGGTAAATCGGCCAGTGGGGCCCAGGCCACGCCCGCGGGGATACACCTTAGGCGATGCTTAAGAAAACCTAAGTTTTCGGCCAGAGTCTCGATTATTCTTAACGTTTCAATGTAAATCCTAAGATTTTGATAGAAATGTTGGGTTTTTATTCAAGTTCTGAGACCATGAATTTCTTAACCCATGATTTCTTAACCATTTCGCGTGGTGTAGGGATCTTCTCAACGATGCTCATTCCGAGGAGCGCAAAGTGCGGCAGGCTCGCGTCGTGTCGACGGGCGGCCACCACGCCGCCGGCGAACAGCGCCGGCGATCCAGAGGCGGTCGAGTTGGAGCGATCTGCTGCTTCGGAAGCGGCCGATCGGGAGCACCCCCTCCTCAGAGGAGGGACATCGACCAAGAAACAATCGCATCAGCACGAGCCTTCGGAGGCCCGCGTGGAGCGTCGAAGCTTTCTGTTTGTGCCTCTTCGTCTCCCTCTACGAAGGTACCGGCATCGCCACCCCTGCCTCGTTTCCGCGTTTCGGGGCCTCTGAGAGGCCCTGGCCGCAACGGCTGGCCCCCCCTTTGAAATTCTGGTCAGAACGCACCCAGGGAGAGGTCTGGGGAGCACCGGTATCGATGCTTTTTGGGTCCCCCATCTCTGGGCGAAGCTCGCGGGCTCGACGAATCGAGGATCAGGGATCGGCGGCGAAGACGTCGACGTCGACTTCTTCGTTCCCGAGGTCTGTGGCCGTCTCCGGAGGCTCTTGGCGCCACGGCTGGACGCAGCTGGGACATCAGGAGGGAAAAACACACAGACAATGAAGCGTCGATTCCCTGGAAAATATCGGAAAATACGGTAAGTTGGGGGGGGGAAGACGAACATCCTGGAAAAATATAGGGGAATCCTGGGGGTTGTGTGTATTTGTTTGTGTGGCCCAGGGCCCCTCTGGGAAACCCAGGCAGGATGGACCCCGAAGGTGCTGAAGAGGCAGCAGCACCGCGCCGCCAGGGAGCGCCCCTCTCCTGCGCGGGACTCGCGGGCTCGACGCGCGCGAAGGGCATTGGGGTCCCCCCCGGAGGAGGAGGACGAGGCTGCTACCATTGGGCGTCACGTAATGGGGGGATCATAAATGGGGGGGTGGCGAGGGTGGTCCGAAAAGGTACCCAAACAGTACCTAAACGAGCCCCCTGGGGCTCCGGAGGGGCCCGAAAGGGGCAGGAAAGGGGACCGTTTCTGACCCCCCCATCTATGACCCCCCTTATTAAGCCACGCCCAATACCACTGCTCCTCCTGGAGAGCCCTCGTCCGACGAGGGCCCTCCGCTTCGAGGGCGCGGCTCGGGCGCTCGCGGCTGGTGGGGGCTCCGTCAAACTCACGCGCGCGGCTTGGGCGCTACAGTGGGCGGCTTGAATAAGGAACACTTACTTTTCAAAAGGGGCTCGGTCGTTCCTTAGATTTGCGTGCGTTATTTGCAGTTCCTTGTGCGTTATTTGTTATTTGTCGTTCCTTATGCGTTATTCCTTGGGGTAAAAAGGGGCTTCGTTCCTAAAAGGCCGATGACTGTACCACTGCTCCTCCTGGAGAGCCCTCGTCCGACGAGGGCCCTCCGCTTCGAGGGCGCGGCGCGGGCGCTCGCGGCGGGTGGGGGCTCCGTCTGGCTCACGCGCGCAGCCTGGGCGCCATCGCCCACTAATCCTCCTCCTCCTCCTCCTCCCTCCTCATCCTCCTCCTCCTCCTCCCTCCTCCCTCCTCCCTCCTCCCTCCTCCGTTTCCTCCTCCTCCTCCTCCTCCTCCTCCTCCTCCTCCTCCTCCTCCGCGCGCTATCCGACACGAATCGGCGCTGTTCGGCTTGGGCGGCGACGCCCCAAGTCTCCACGATTGCGAACCTAATCGCCGCCACGTCTGGAGCTGGAGAGGTCCAGGGGAGCAGCGGTGTCGGAACTCCTCCTGTCCCCCCGGCGCTATGCGCGACGGGGGGGCGGGGCTCGGGGTGGGTTCCTCGCAGCAGGCGCAAGCTAGCGAAAGGCAAGCGTCCTACACACAGACCGCTGTGAGCGCGCAGCCTTTTAGGACTTGGTCGTAGTCCAGGCCATGCTCCGGGCACAAGTAGTGTCTATCCCCCTGCTCCTGCACCTCTTCCTGCCGCCTGCGTTTGTTCAGGAGGAGCAGCTCCGGCTGCCATCCGCATATCTCCTTGGCGTGTTTTTTTTGCCGCGCCAAGCTTCTTGCGCTCCTCCTTCGGCCACGCTCAGAGGGGGTCAGGGGGAGGGGGGAAGGCTTCTCAGAAGCACCCCTACTTCTCAGAAGGCGCGGGCCTTCTCTTATCATGCAATGCCGGCGCCTTCTAAGAAGCAGCCCCCTTTCTAAGAAGCTTTCCCCCCTCTCCCTACCCCCCTCTGCGCGCCGCCAGTCCTCTTTGTCCTCCTCTTCCCCCTCCTTATCCACCCGCCTTAGACTCAGGAGGGGAAAAACACACACAGACACAATTAATCGTCGATCCCCAGGAAGATATGCGAAAATATGGGGATTGGGGGGGAAGACAAAAACCCAGAAAATATGAGAAAATATGGGGAATCTGTTTATTTGTGTGTATTTATTTGTGTGTTCTGGGGCCCCTTTATAGACGTTGCAGTGCACGTGCGGCTGGCTGAAGGATCGGAGGCCCAAGGAGGCGCGCTCTGACCGCGAAGGCGTGGGCTGTGCTGTCCAACGCTGTATCTGTGTTGTGGCGTGCGTCTCGGTCTTGGCATTGCTCGGACGTGTGCATTTTTCAGGAGGGGAAAAAACACACAGACACAATTAATCTGCGATTCCCAGAAAATATTGGAAAATATGGGAAATGGGGGGGAAGACAAAAACCCAGAAAATATGGGAAAATATGGGGGATTTTTTTTTTGTGTGTATTTATTTGTGTGTCCCAATTTCCCTTCAGTTGTGGCGTGCGTCTCAGCCTTGGCATCGCTCGGACGTGTGCAGTTTACCTTCGGCGAGGACCATCGAGGAGCATCCTTGATCAGTTGGAGAAAAAAAGCCACGCACGAAACCGACAAAAATACAGGGAATGGGCGTCCGAGCGATGGCCAGCAGCAGCTGATCAAGGCGGGCTTGCTTTCCTCGCGGAGGGCGAACATGCAGCAGGAGGACGAGGAGCATAAGGATGAGCACTTGGAGATGGGAGGGGCATGGTGAGTTCGATGGGGAAGGATGGGGTTCGGAGGATAAGAAGGGGTCATTCGCCAGCATTTTACAATCTTGGCCATACTGATACCTTCGCTCGGACGCGCGGTGCCAGGTCCGGATACAGGGCCGCTGCGATTTGAACACACCTGCCAGATAGAAGCAAGTGTTGGCATCGGCGTCAAAGAGCAGATTTCCTTGCGGTTGCCCCGATATTGTTGTCGTTTTGTGTTGGTGTTGGAATGCCAATGCGCTCGATGCCATATCGCTTATGTTTGAGGTACACCACGGGCGCGTCACAGCTACATTAAAACAGTCAGTCACGACCTAATGATTCTTAAGGGGGGATTATATTACTCCCTTGAAACCTAAAGAGGCCCTGTCCCTATGTTTTGTCTTTCGGTCGTCTCCCATCAAAAGGGAGGGGGGGGCACCCTCTCGAGCGAGTGTGGTGCCATGATGGCCTTCGGCGATGAATGTGCCGACGCCCTGGCGGGTCACATGCCAGAGCTGGCCTGGAGGGACTTCACGTTCGGGCGCCCCCCCCCCGCGTATCAGCGTGACGTCAAGGTGGCCCTTGTGCACCGCAGTGCGAGGAGAGCCCTTCAGGGTGCGCCATCGGAGCAGGTCCGCGGACCGCTGCGCGTGCCGACGGTGAGGGGTCTCGTCTTCCCTTTCTCCCGAGCTGGGTCCGCAGACGCGCCAACGGCGATGTAGGGAGCGGCGAGTGCCGCAGCAGGGCGCGTCGGCGAGAACCAAGATGTGCAAGGCAGCTGGGATCAGCAGAGGTCCGAGAGTGTGCTGCAGCGCCTGGGCAGAGCAAGGATGACCCCCCCTCATCTATACCCAACCGAAGCTCCTCCTCCTCCTCCTCCTCCTCCTCCTCCTCCTCCTCCTCCTCCTCCTCCTCCTCCTCCTCCTCCTCCTCCTCGTGTCTCCCTTCCAAGCATGCGGCGTGCGAGGGGGCTTCTCAAGCGGAGCGGCCGAGGAGCAGCAGAGTGCCATCGGGGCGCTGCAGAGCGGCCTGCAGAGCTGAGCCGCCCAAGCCCGGAGGTGCGTGCCAGGCCTCCTTTGCCTCGCCATCCTCCTCGTTCTCGTTGGGGAGGGCGGCGACGACGATTGGGATGCTTGTTCGGCGATTCTGGAGGTTCCCGTCGCCACGCTGGGCGCAGCTCGTTGCCAGGCCTCCTCCTTCTCCTCGCCGTCCTCGCGCTTCGTTCTGACCCGAAGCAGAAACACAACTTTTCCTCGTCGTCCTCGTCCTCGTCGGGTAGGGCGGCGACTACGTGTCGGATGCTTGCTCGGCGATTCGGGCGGTCCTCGTCGCCACGCTGGACGCAGCCCGAAGGCTCTGCCAGGATGGACCCAGGGAGGGCCTCGGGCATGCGCTCTGTGCGGATTTGGGTGCTTCCAGGGCGGTGGATCGACTCACCGTCCTCCTCGTCCTCGCGCATCTGCTCCTCCTCCTCCTACGTCTTGTGTACCTCCTCGCCTTCTCGCGATCCTGATCCTGGTGGGCTTCTGCCTCCCCGTGCTCGTCTTCGCTCCCGCCCTTCTGCTCCCCCCCACCTCTTCCACCGGATCATGGTCCCGATCCCGCTCGCTCTCCTCATCCTGCCTGCAGTCGGCAGCACCCTCAGACGATGTTGGTGTTGGCTACGCAAGGTCGCTGCGCACGCTCGGAAATCCTATGGCATAAGCCCCGTGGCGGGCGCTTCCTGGCCATACCGCTCGGGCAACTGTGCACTACAAGATGCTACACCAGATGCTCGAGTCGGACGTGCGCCTCCAACAGAGGCGCATCGCACCAGCATCTCCTCATTCTTCCCGTGCAGTCCCGTCGGCTCCCGAGCCGGGATCGGCACTCTGGCCTCCGAGGGAGACCGCTGGCGATGGGGGGTCGGCCAGGTGGGGCGGGGGCGTTGCAGGCCCGCTCGCGCCCCAACGGGCGAGACCTCCCAGCTAGAATGCGCGTTCCTGCGGGGTGCGGTCGGGAACCTTTGGAGGGCATTCGGTCGAGGCAGGTTCGGGGAGGGTACCCTAATGTTCTTTGCGTGTTGTTGGATGTTTTTGTGCATCCGGGGGGACGGGGAGGGTTCCCTCGAGTGTACTTCATTTTGGTGTGCGGAGGACCTCTTGTTCTTGAAGGATGGTCTTCTGTCCTGGGTCTGTAGCGTGTCGCTCCGCCGGTTTTGGCAACCTGGCACGCACCCCGGCACGCTATCCGCTTCACGGTCCCCAGGCGTGCACGTCCCGTGCTGTTCCCGAATTCCCGCCCCGCGGAGCGGAGCGACACGCCATCCGCTTGCAGGGTACACCGTGTCACCGGGCCGCCGTGGCAACGGGTTATCCACAAGTTCCCGACCGTAGATGTGCTCATGTCCTGAGGCCCATGATCGCCGCTGTGCAGCGTGCAAGTTCGCTCATGACAAGGTCGCCCGGCGTGGAACCCCTGGAGGACGCAACGATTGCGAAGGCCACCAAGCGTAAAATCCCAGAAGTAGTCGCGCTTTTGCAGGCCAGAATATCGGGTAGAGTCATGCTTGCCGAAGCCGCCGAAGTTTGCTCGTCCTCTTTCGTCCGCGCTCCCTCCTTCCTCGGCCCTCCTCCATTCTCCACCCTCTCGTTCCTCCCACTTCTTCCGTATAGTATCACTCTTCCGGCCACTCCGTCTTTTTCCTCCTGCTCTTCGCCTATCTCCCCCTGGCCCCCTCTCTTCCCTTCTTCGTCCTGCCCTGGCAGGCCGAAGTAGAGCCTTCCGGAGCCAACCCGACCGCCAGTCTTACCGGGCCTTCCGAATTAGGGCCCGCCTGACCCGACCGGCAGCCTGACTCGGGGACTCAGGGGCCGCCCAAAGTTTTCAGAGGAGTTCTGGGGGGCTCAAGGTATGGTGGGAAGGTCTGGTGATCTGCTTGGGCTCTGGAGAAGTGAAGGCACATGAGGGGTGTCCAAGGCTGTCTGATCACCTCGCTTCCTCAGTCTCCTCCCGCCGCACTATATTATTCCCCTCTTTCCATGCGCACAGTGCTCAGGAATATCGTGCCTGAGGGTTTTCCGTCGGCACACTACGCGTTCGAACCGATCCTGTGCAGTCAAGACTAGCCAGAAGAAGTGACACTTATGGTGGTGAGTGTCTATGATTCTTACGTAGAGTCTTCGCGGACAGACTTCATGGATCCACGAGAACTACAAGTTATAGATCCGAATATTTGACGCTTCGCGTATCCCAACCAGACCATCCCCCCAAAAAACACCATGCGAGTTGCCCTGATAAGGGATGTACAGCAGCCAACCAGTGTGACAGTATGTTTGTAATCTGGTTTGGCCGGGCAATGTGTTCAAAAGATCGGCCGACCGGCTTATGCGGCACACATCGGCCAGTATAGTCACGGCCGAGCTCGCACTCGAACCGCATAGAGCGCGAGCACCGCCAAGCGGCGCACGTGCAAGGTTTCCCTTGCCCCGCTCGGGGGCTGGACCTGTGCGAGGGCGCCCGCCTGGCCTTGCCGGCGACTCGCGAGGGAGGGCCCGATCGGGCGCGGGCCGACTGGGCCGACGGACCCCCTTCAGTATCGTTTAACCGATCCCCATCCCCATCCCCATCCTCTTCGAGACCCCCACCAAATTACCACCCCAGTTGGGGATACACCCTTCGAAACCCGAAGGGAATGGCCTATATCCCCATCTAGGGGGGTACATCGGCCAGTGGGGCCCAGGCCACGCCGCTTGGGGATGGGGATCGGTTACAGGATACTCACTTCTGACAAGTTCATACGCACATTGCGCGTGACCGTTATGATTCTCGAGTGTCTAAACTGATTCTGGCTCCCACGGGGTCGGGGGTAAGGAGTTCTTCGACCCCTGCCGGGTGTCAAGCGCATCAATTTTTCGGGGCCCTTCGTGGTCGTCGACCAGGAGCCCGCGCCCTTGGCGGGCGACGCGAACGCTCGGGGCCCAGCCTAGCATTCAGGAGGTGGCGAACGACTTCGACTGCGCCTTCGGCCTTGCAGCACGCTTCTCCGGGCTCTTGTTTCGCCATGGAGCTAGCGGTATTCATTTGCCCCGGTGGGGCGAACTCTATTACCGTTTGCACTGGAGGGCCCTGAGGGGCGTCACCGCGCGATGCAAAAGACATCAAAAGTTTATCCAATGGCTTTCTACCCGTCTCGCCACCATGCCTGGGGTCAGAGTCCTCAGGGATGATTCTTGGGTCTCTTCGGAGCGCTCTCGGGGGCCTCTGGGGGGTAGGCTTGTTTGGGGGGCCTCTTGGGGGGGCCTCTAGAGGGCCTCGTGGGGGCCTCTTGGGGCCTCTTGGGGCGTCCTGGGGTCCTCTTGGGGCTTCTTGGGGCCTTTTTGCAGGCTTGTTGGGGGCCTCCTGGGGGCCTCCTGGGGGCCTCCCGGGGCCGAGGGCTCGAACTGTCCATTCGGGTCCCCCGTCTGGGCCCCCTCTTGGAGCCGTCTTGGAGACCTCGTGGGCCGTCTTGGAGGCGTCTCGAGCCGTCTTGGGGCCCTCTTGGGCCGTTTCGGGAGCCTTCTTTGAGGACTCGCCGGCTGTCTTGAGGCGATATTTGGGGCCTCCTGGGCCGTCTTGGAGCATCGGGAAGCCTAACAAGGCGAGAGCACCAAAAACATTCAAACACCATCGGACAATCAATCATGTTTGCCTCGTGGGGTCTTTTGGGGGTGCTCTTGGAGGCTTCTTTCTTGGGGCGTCTTCGAGGCCTCTCGGGCCGTCTGGAGGCCATCTCGGGCATCTTGGAGCGATCTCTTGGTAATTCCGGACCCTCCTTGACCGTTTAGGCGGCCTCCAGGGGCTTTCTTGATTTGTGTCGGGGCCTTCCTGAGCGAGGGGACCGTCCTGGAGGCCCACGCGAGAACCCTGGCAGCGTCCAGTGCCGCCCGAGAGCGCACGGGAAATTAAGGGTCTGGGCTCCTGAAGATTTACAGGCCCTCTACCTCTCGGGGGCGGAAAAGAGGGGGGTGATGACTAGGGGGGGGGGGGGGGGGATTTCATGGCGCGGGCCATGATTTTTCCTCAGATTTCATGGCGCCTCTTCTTATTTCATTACTCCCTGGGCCCCCCCCGGGCCGCGCACATGCCGCCGGTCATGATTTGCACCCCCCCCTCTTGGACACCCCCCTCTTTGCCGCTCCCGAACCTCTCAGGGCTGCATGAGCCTTGGGCGCTTCTACTTCGTGCCCGAGTCTCGGTGGCGGATTTTATGTTGTTGATAATCGCGGCGTGCAGTCACTCTCTGGGAGCCCCCTGGAAGCATATGGGTGCCCTCTTGGGGCCACGCTCGAGGCCTCTGGGGCTCTCTTGGGGCTCTCTGCAGGCCATCTCCATCCTGGAGGCCACCAATCAAAGGAGCGGGGGGTCCGAATACGCCCCCCCACCCCAGCCCTAGGCCGAACCATTGCCCCGTGGGGCGCTCTTGGGCCGTCTTGGGGCTCTTCTGGGCCATCTTGGAGCCATGCTGAGGTCTCAAGTGCCAATAGACAGCCAAACGGCGCGTGGGGGCCTCTTGGAAGCATGCTGGGGGCTATCTTGAGCCATCGTTGGCCATCTCGTACGCGCCAACAACCTGCGGCGAAATGCCCCTCCTGACCCAGGGATGAGGGGTATGGGGAAAAGGTGAACCTTTCCCCGAAGGGGAAGAAGGAGGGGGAGCAAGTAACTCGTTGAAGCACCTACGCCCAAGATGGCTGGTGGGATCCTTGTCGTATGCTCCATTGTCCTCGTGCTGGACTGCATGCGCGCACACCGTGCTCCCAGGCCTGCAAGCCTGCGCGTGCACTGGCCGGTTCGACTGTCCCGAAGTCCGCCCGCACCTCTCAGCGCAGGTTGGCGCCCGGGGCTGTGTCCTCCTCCTCTCCGCCTGGCTGCCCTCTGCTCATCTTCGCTATGCCCACGTGCCCCCTCCTGTAGGGCCCGCCTGAGACCGGACTGTCGGAGAGCGCCTCCTTGCCGCGCGGAAGGGTCGATTGCAGGGGAGGGGCGGCCGGTCCAGGATGCAAGGAAGCACGGCACGAAAG